GTTTTACAGCAAATCAATGCCTTCATGTCAGCTGCATGACTGGTACCTCCTAACTCATGTTTCCTTTTGAATTTCTCCTGATCTTTCTCTTAAAAGTAAAGTCATGCCACCACCCCTTGTTCCCATTGGTCAGGGCTTTGTAAGCCTGTCATAAGATGGTTAAGGAGGGGGGGAGCTGAACAGATGCTCAGCATTCTTTGGAAAGGCTGTTTAGATGTTTGAGGAGGGGCGACACTCACTGTTTCCAGATGCTGCAACTTCAAAACACTCCTCCGGTTTATTCAAGGTTGCATTCAGGTACAATTTCAGTGTGAAAATAACAGACTGGCTTTTTGCATCCTGGCTGTCCAGAGCTTTATTCTGATTACACGTACCACCATGTGAGGAACTGAGCAGCGTTTTATGTTGCTACTATTGCTGCCGGCTTTAAAAGTCTCAAGATGCTCCGTCTATAGATTCACGGATGTCGGCCCACTTGACCTCTCTCGACTAAATCAATGTCGTCCGCTCCCAGACTCCGGCGCGTGATGCATTTAAGATGGACTGTGTTGCCTTTGCAAACTGAATTTTCTCCAGGAAACTAAAATACATTTTCTGTCTGTAATCTCCAGGCATGGTAGGCTACGGTATGGCTAAAGCTGCCATCCACCAGCTGTGTCAGAGTCTTGCAGCAAAAAACAGCGGGATGCCGTCAGGAGCTGCTGCGGTTGCCATACTGCCGTGAGTACTGCAATAAAAATATTACAGACACACTTGGTCACAATGCACATCTAGGTCTTATAGTCCAGGACTAATTGATTTGCACTGCTCCCGTGGCACTCGCAGCCTTAAAGGGACCCAGAGTGTGTCTCTTGAGCATCAAATGACGACCCTGTGTATTCTTGCAGTGTGAATTTAGAGAGTTCATTGCTCCCTTCTTGGTGGCAGATGAGAGCATTTAAATTCACACTAGTTTCAACTGGTGAGCTAAACCTTCACATAAAACAAATTGTTAATATGCCACTTCCAGTTAGGCCTCAGAGCTGTGAGCAGGTGTTATCATGACAATGCACAGACTGTTGGAAGCTGACAAGTGAGTTATTGTAATAATGGTCAGGAGAACAAGTTAGAATTCTTTGCACAGAATAGAAAGGTTCAAGGGCTAATGCAATGATTTATTGTTGCATTTCTGGGAAGTTGACTCTGATTAAGACAGAGGGGGCATAATCGAAGCAGCAGACTCTGAGATACCCTGACGTTAATTTTCTAGTATGGATCAAGCTTATAAATATTGAATCCTCCGTCCTTGCGGGCGTCTTCAGGCTTTCTCTGCCTCCCCCTCTGAGATTTATTATTTCAGTTTGTTCTGCAGACTTGTGGCTACAATGTAAAGTCGAGACAATCCTGATGCGGGCGCCGCTATGGCTCACCTGGTTGAGCTGGCGTCCCACGTACAGGGCTGCAGTCCCCATGTGGAGGTCATGAGTTCGAATCCCGCTCATGGCCCTTTCCCCACATGTCCTCCCCCCGTTCTTCTCCACTTTCCTGTCTCTCTCTCACTGCACTGCATCGCATAAAGGCACAAAGGCCAAAAAAATAACTTAAAACAAAAGATAATCCTCCTGCCATTCACACTTCTGGGGTTTGATTCATAACAATCCAGTCCAGGTACCAGTCCTGTCAGCTGGCCGGATGGGTCTTTCCATATCAATATTCTTCTTCAGAATCAGTTTCCTACTCAGACGTGTGCCTGATGTTCTCTAATGTTTCAGCATCGATGTAGGTGAGCTGCAGTCAGCCGGGCGGGGCAGGAGCTTCACAGATACATGCATCGTAGAGGAAGCAACAGGGAGGAATTGTGTCTAAGCTGTTAAAGCAGGAAGGGATTATTTTCACAGAAACATTTTAAAAATTAAATTTTGATTGAACAGAGAGGAGTTTTTAGGGATTAGATCAATCACCAGAGAGGGAGTTTAAGAACCACAGGGAATATTAAGCAATAGTTTTCCTCCTATAGAGGACCCAGTTTGTGCAAAAAACAAACCAATGGGAGCTCAATAGCTTGATATACTGCAGCATGACTTCATTTAACTGCACACAGCATCATCCTGGATGGTCCCATCATGCTTTGTAACAAAGAGATACGAGTAATGTCTTGTTTTTTAACCCCTGGATGGAGTGGTACTAAGCTCAATGTTTGTCAGGTGATGTTGTGTGTCAATCATTATTGGTGGAAAACTGAATCCTCGTCCAGCAGAATTATTAAACATATAAAACAGCATAAATATACAGGGTCTCAGTTATCGTGGATGGGATTCAGTTTTGTACTTAAGGTTGAAAAAAAAAAAACGTGTTGTACATTTACTGTAACATAAATTTTTTGCACAGTGTTGCTGGAAAAAAAAAAACACCGACAAGAAACACAGCTGGTGGAAGAACTGAAGATAAAAGCTATTGTGCTGGAAAATTAGCTCAGTAGTCATTGTTATGTTGGATGGATAAGTGCTATGAGATGATAAGCTGCAGGAATAAAACATGGTTACCATTTCAACCAGCAGATATCTGGTCGTGCACATGATGATGATCACACGTTCGCCTTTGCGTCATTGTCCCCTCTGCTGGCTTATTGAATTTAAACGCCGTTTTTGCCGTGTCATCGTGACAAGCTCAGAATGTCTTTTCAGGGGTGTATCTTAGTCCTGCGCTCTGTTTGGCTGCATTTTCCTCCAACATGAGGCTGGGCTGAGTCTGCCTCTCCAGCTTGCTGTCACATCTGTTTAGCATTACCCCCATGACTTGCATTTCTGCTACAACCCCCAGCTTTGCTTGTGCTGCTGCACCAACATAGACAAACATTTGTTGAAATTCGCATTATACAGTGTATTCCTGCGAAAGCCAGATAGTGGTTGAACATGGGTTTGTAAAGTCTGACACTGTGGACTTCCTTCAGACGAAACTGAGGGAACTGTGCCCATTTCAAGGCTTCGCAATGCAAATTTCCTCACTCAAGCACTAAGGGTTTTATAGTAACTTAGTGTCTCCAAAGCTGCAACACAGTTTTGTTTTTATATAAAGAACATGAGTAAATGTAATTATATTGCCCTGTTATATCGCTCAAAATTGCACTTTTCCCAAAGAGTAGTGTGTTCTTGCAACTAAATGTATGTACAGAGCTTACAAACATGATGATTCCTCCCAGAAACACACGACAGCACATGGATCAGGTGAAGGTGTAGCTTGTTTGCATTTACACAGACCTTGCATACAGTCTCTCTCTCTCTCTGTGTGATTGTATGTGTGGAGATACTGCAGCCTGCCAGCGCTGCTGCCTCTCTGCTGCTCAGATGCAGCTACTCACCCTGATTGTCATCTGGCTTCATTTGGCAGCGTTACCTTGGATACGCCGATGAACAGGAAGTTCATGCCTGACGCAGACTTCAGTTCCTGGACACCGCTGGAGTACATTGCAGAGTGAGTGATGCAGCGATTTAGGATTTATATGATTTTTTTTTCCCTGATTTTAAGTCCGTAGAGAGCTCTGAACAGAAATGACTATATTTTAAAATGAGAGGGTCGTCTTTTTTTCAGGATTGCAGTATTTGAAGTAAGTATGATTCCTCCTTCCAATCTCGTCACATCGTTAAGCATCAGATTTTAGCCTCATTTAGTGTATCTGTTATAACCACTCACTCTGAACCCCACAACCCGCCTGCAGATTTGGAAGACATGCGCTGTCTTTAAAAAGTTGCCAAAATGACACGATTGATCAGAGCCAAAATCTGCAGAAAACGGTGAAAGTGACTGGATATTCAGCTTTCAGTGGCCCTCGACATGATCATGTGTGATGTGCAGTTCTGTTAGAAACATCGACCAAATGCAACCTTAATATCGTGATATTTCATCAAAATATTTTTTTTATTTCAAGGGTGTCATTTTAAAAAATGCCAGAAATAAGCCATTTACATGAAACAGATTCTGTTAAACAAAACATCCTGCGAGGTGCAGTTGGCGTGTCAGACAGTCAGATGACTAAAACTCACTGACTATTTGGCTAAACTGCCGGCAGCACAGAGCAGATAGAACACAAGTATAACTAAGAACGTAGGTAACAAGATATCGTCTTTGATTTCTCACATTTTAAATGCGTCCAATTGCTCAAGAAACATTTTTGAGTTCTTTCTACTTCCATAGTTGTTTCCATAGAGGTGCAGGACTTCAAATTGCAGTGAAAAATGAGCCCATAGTGAGCAGGAAATGTTACAGGAACAAAAACCACTGAGTGCCTGCTTAGGGTTCAGAGGGTTAACCTGCTGCATGTTGCTCTATACGTCTTGTGATCTCCTTTACTTCAAAAACAACCCTGATCTTTTGCTTTCAGTGAAAGGAAATGGACAGAAAATGGCTTGAAATTATAACAGGAAATGGGTTCTAAAGAGTTTATTAGCCTAAATCGTAATGCAAACATAAAATAACGTTACATCAAATATGTGCTTTATGTCCAAACAGTGTTCCAGGTCGTGGTACCTTGTAGTACTTTAAGGCTTGTATTCACCATACCGAATACACATTCATGTGTTCCTATAAACACTGGATTTCACTTAGATCTTGTGAATCTGAGGATGTAATAGAATGCTTTTTTTCTGATATTGTTCAGCTGCTGTACGGCTTTTCTACACGTCTCTAATCACAAATGGCTCCCCGCTGACACTCAAACATGTCTTTATGTGTGTAATTCACATTGCATCCTATTAAAACAGCTGTGGGCAGGGACGTTACATCTGTTTCTGATTGTTCAGTTTTGGTCCAAGAGGCTCTTTGATTCTGAGGGAACGGCACCGTAATCATCGCATTTACCTTTGATGCTTTAGATCACAGCAGCATCTCGGCTATCAGAGTTACTGGAAATACCTGAGACGCTATTTGCCGGTTATGCACGAGAGTGGGAATACGTGAGCACAGAATACAAAGCGTGTTACCAAAAGCTGTTCTCGTGATCTTTCAGGGGAGGTTTGTTTCCTTTAAACTCATACATCACGTACATTTACAAGTTACATTTATTGACATGAAGTATAATAGTTTTCTTGTACGAATGTCATTTAGAACAGCAAAAAGAACGGTATTTAAAATTGATATTTCACCACAGGATGGCAAAATGGATTTGGATTGTTCTTAGATTAGGTGTGTTGTTATTTGATTGTATGTAGGTCATCGATTTCTTTATCCTGTTAGGTTATGTTGCAACATAGGTGTAATCAAATATTGCGCTATTAAACACAAAACTCTAATACACAATAAATCAGCCTAATACAAAACATCCCAGCGTCGTCGTTTCGACATGCTGAAAATTTCTAGCTTCGATAAACCTACTGACGAAACCTAAAGTTTCTTAGAGTGCATTAGAAACGGTGAGTTTTCAGATGATTCGAACACATCTGAATGCATGGTGCGTGCGTTTTAAAACAGGAGTATGTGTCAGTTTCTGTAGTGTTTATCTCTCTGCAGGCCAGTGGAGATTAGATAAGATTTGATCCACTTTGATAATCCCTGAGGAAGCAGCTGAGGGTCTGCGGACAGAAATAGAAAATGCCTGGCTGACCGGAAATGAAGGGAGGCAGCGGTTAGTTTGTCACTGTCTCTTATCTTTACCTCTGCTTACCTTTCTGGCCAAAATTCATTCATAAAACCTGGATGTTGTTGGTACTTTAAAAAAAGCCTAGTCACAGTATGGGCGATTATTTGTCTGAATAAGTAACAACACAAAACAAACTGTGGCTTCCTAAAAGTCAAAATTGATTCAGAAACTCCCATTATAACCCTCATGAATTATTGCAGTATTGTTGCATTAGTTTTAACTCCGTGTGCTGGTTTTATAGACGCCTGTATAAGGCAGCAACACATTAGGGCTTAAATGAAATCCCTTAAACTGTTTCCATTTTTCTGCAGGATGTTCTACAACTGGTCCACCGGCACAAACCGGCCAGCATCGGGAAGCCTGATGCAGCTGCTGACCTCCGGAGGTGAAACCCAGGCTGTGGCCGCTCAGTAGAGGACAGAGCGGAGCTGTGGAGCCGGTGATGGGGGTTGGTTTGTTGGTTGGTAGGGAGAGATAAAGATGGATGGAAGCAGAGAGACAGGGGGGGGGAGAGGAGGAGTTGGAGAGCCACAGAGAAGGAGGCTGGTGCAGGGAGGAGGAGGAGGAGGATGTGGTGAAGAAGAGTAAGAGAGATGGGAGGAGTGATGAGGAGGGCTGGAAGGTGTAGAGGTGAAGAAGAGAGATGGTGACAGAGAGGAACTGAATAAAAGAGGGAGGTGGAGAGGAGACGCCCGATGGGTTTGCTTTGGAGGAGGAGGAGGAGGAGGAAGAGGAGGGGGAGGAGGGGTGGGGGCTTCCTTTCCGAATGCAGCCTCACTGCGCCATCTAGCTGTACATCACTGCAACCGTCCCGCTGTGACACAATCAGACCGTGTTGAATCTCCGCTAATGATAATTCACTGTTGACCAACGAACCATCAAGACTTGAGTATTTCATTCAGTTTCAGGATCAGTGATGTGAAATTGTGTTAATTGGGAAACAGAGTACATACTGCTATATTTGGGCCTCATGTGGTGTGACTGATGTGAAAGCAGGCGCTAATAGAGATGCATATTTTTGAAGCTTGGGATGCCTAACCATTGCCATTCAGTGTTATTGCAGTGTTATTACGGCAGGGAAAGTGCAGAAAATTAACGAGCAAGGCGTTTTGCCACCCATGATTTTATCCATTCCTCTTAAACAACTTCATAACCACATTACCTGTCTAGTCCAATGTGACGTGTGAGATGTTTTTTTTAGTTTCTGCTGTTCAATGTTCCCCCAGAGGTCCTCTGCCACTGAGGAAACATAAAGTCGACGTAAGCCGCTGTCTTCTCTCAAACGGACAACACGCTTTAAAGTGGAGTGGCCTTATTTTCTGTTTGTAGCTATCAAGTGTCCTTGGTGTCCGCGGTACGAAGAAGGTGCTCTGTTCCTGTTGTGAGTTTTTAAGTTGTGTATTCTGTGTCAAAATTCACAATAAAATGAGTGCAAATAAATGATTGACAGTCTCCGGTCCATTTAGTGACTACCCAGGATAGATATTGGTTAGATTAGGACTTTGTGCATTACACAGTTGGGTATGAATTAGAATGTAGCGATATATATAAGGAAAAAAAACATTCCTGGAAACTGAAAAATAGAAATTGCTCATCCTCTATACTTGTTTTCAATATTCAGACAGTTTATGGACGTCATATAGGAAGCAGCGCTGGCATATATGTAAGTGCTATGTACTTCTCCTTACACAGCTTGGGGCTTTAGCAAATGTTTCTTACATGAATAGAGGTAAATGTGATTTTTTTTTTTTTTATGGAGCTATTTTCAGCAACAGATTTGGATCACTGGTAGGTTTTTTAAATTTTTATTTTTATGTCTTCAAAGTCAAATTCTTCAAAAGTATAATTTCACCTATTTTTTAAAATGAGGATGGTGCTTAGATCTCTTTGTCCTTTTGATTTGAAAATAATTAAAGTTAATAAAATAATGAAGTTAAACTAATTAAACTCCGGACTAATTTCTTCATTTGTAGCCTCCCTGTCTTCAAATAAAAAGAAGCCTTGTAGAAATCACAGTGTCACAGAAGAAAACAAGCCTAGTTTTGATTGCCATGTGAACTCTAATCTTGCTTCCTTCGTGTCTGATCAGGCCTTTGTAGTCAGGACCCAGACAATACTTGATAATAGGCTCAATTCCCTGTGGGCTTTGGATTTGTCGTGGGATTTGTTGACGACAGAAAAAAAAAATATATATATATCACCAGAGTAGCTCAGTATAGAAGCGCCCACTAGATGGTGCTCTTTAATAAGGGTACCGCTGCTTCGCTGCCACTCAGTTTTTCAGGTGGAGTCATATTAATCAAATGGATGAGTTAACACCCAGAGCTGAATATGCACTGCTGTGCATACACTGTATAAAAATAACTTACAGAAGGGCCCTTTAGCATTCACTCTCCTGTGCAGAACTGATTGCTGAGCATCCAGGCCTTTCACCTTGGCAAATGCAAATCTCTACAGCAGTGACATCTGGGAAGACATCAATTTAAAACTTGGATTATGACGAATAGATTATTTTACAGGCCCGTTCCTCTTCCGCACAAAATATTGTTGTTGTTCAACCAGCCCATATATCCGCCCTCAGCGTGGACCAGAATGCACATAAATAGACTACGGGGCAGCTGCTGGGCCTTAGTCTTAAACTCTACTATTTCTCCCGGCTGGCCACAGTTCCAGGGGACTATATGGCTGTTGACAAGCACACTGCAATAAATCACCATGCTGAGGATTAATAGGAAAGAGCAAAGCGCCCCAGCTCACTGTAGCTGATATGTATTTATTCTAGGTGGCGTTGCAATTCATCTCACTGTGTGTACGCATGTGTGTGTGTGTGTGTGTGTGTGTGTGAGGGCCCGAGGCGAATTCAACACGTCTATGCATACATTACCTCCCATGATGCCAGCACTATAGAGTGATTGCCCATGGGGATCGAGTCAATGTTTATCACAGAAAGCGTTTCAGCTGATCAAAGATTACCGCTGAGACGGAGCATGTTGTTCCTGTTTCAGCTGGGGCAGATAAGTTGTCACCCAGCGCCACAGATGCTATTGTTTTGCGCAATGTAAACCTATGAGAGGCAAATTATTTGTGTGTCACAGGTGCAGCGGTGTGCTAAACAGAATTTATCCGGGGCACTCTTCCCTCAAGCTGCGGCAGTACGTTTTTTACATCAGATCCTTGGACTCTCGTGGATTGTTTGTAAATGCAGGACAACCGATGTAATTTGGGAACAATGGTTGCCTTGTTTGTGCACACAGCCAACAAAGTCAGATAAGGTCAAGAGGACCAGTAATGGAACAATGCAAAGTAGGAACCAGAAATGTGCATCTTCCATCCCAGCATGCCTCATTATTGGTTTATATCAATATATGCTAACTATTCTGGATACTTACAGAAGCCCTCCGGTGAAAATCTTTCACCTTGTTAACATGTGCTGGATGGCTTATCATGAGCCAAATAAGTAGTCGACATCATGGCTCAGCATGTCTACCTGGAAACTGCCCCGCACCAGTTTCCGGTTCCGACATGTACAGTGTGGCTAAATTACACCAATATTACAACTTGACATTGTGTAGCGTAGGGTAGCTTTAAAGCAGAGTCATAGGTGAGCTGGTGTGCTCGAGCTGAAGCAAGTGGGGTGAGTGAAGAGAGAGAGAGAGGTGGGGACTTTATAGATCTGCAGATTCTAAAGGAAGCAGTCACCTATATCGATCTGTTTTACTGTTTATTATTCATCTGTGTATCATGTGTCTGTTTTATAGTAGTTTTGTTGACTTTGTATGGCTGCTGCCTTGGCCAGGTCTGCCTTGTAAAAGAGATATCTAATCTCAGTGGGACTTCCTGGTTAAATAAAGGTAAATAAAATATCTGAAGCTATTTAAAGCAATAGGAAAACATTTTTTAAATATGTAACTTTGGTGCAAAGAGATGTTTTTTTTCTGACTTTCATTGTTAGAACAACCAGATGACCAAGTGTACATACCCTTCCTATAACCCAGGGGTGGGCAATCCTGATTCGAGGGCCACAGTCCTGCATGTTTTAGATGTTTCCCTCTTCCAACACACCTGATTCAAAGGATTGCTATCAGGCTTCTGCAGAGCTTGATGATGAGCTGATCATTTGAATCAGGTGTGTTGGAAGATGGAAACATCTAAAACATGCAGGATTGTGGCCCTCGAGGACCAGGATTGTCCACCCCTGTTAAAACCAGTCTGTCAATACATTGATAGAGTCCTTCTCTCATAATGACCCACCACCCCACACATGTGCATTAAAGTCCATGATGTTTTTATATGAGTACATTTCCTTCTTCCATGCCAAACGAGCAGTTCAACCCAACAGCTTTCAGATGGTTACCAGAGGAAGATCTTTACATATTCAGCAGCAAGCGCAGCTGTTAGAATTATCTACATTTACCTTATCGTGTTCCTCACCTCAGTGCGATGACCATCTTTTAACACGTGTGTATACCTTATGATTTATGGCTCCTTTTGGGCCATTATTCAGTGATTATGATCATCCATCCATACATCCATTTAACCTTCCTGATGTACGTATAGAATAAAGGTCAAATAATTAAAAGATAATACACATGCCCTCACTTACCCTTGCATGTTTTATTATTATATAAGTGGTTATTATCAAGAAGAAATATTAGGAAAAGGTATTACAGTTAGAGGGAAATGGGCATTACTGTGTCTTCTTTTCCCTGCTCTTTAATTAAAACAGTCTCTTTTTTTTTTTACCACTCATTATTTTGAATGCTTAATGCCTAAACCATGAGATGTTAAACAAAAAAGCGTTCCTGTTCAGCGGCGGGAAAACAGGTGAATTTACATCCAGTTGATGTGGGACCACAATGGCTGTAGTGTTTGGATGGAAACTGAACACTAAAAAGCTTTAATCTCCCTGACTAAATTGGGCCGGGTATTTATAACATGAGCAGTGACACCCACCTCGTTTGAACGGACAAAGAAAAGCACGTCACCTCCAGAAACTCATTATCAACAAAAAAAAAATAAATTCCAAAGAAAAATGTGCCACTTGGTTGGTTTTCTAAAGTGAAGCACAGAAACAAAAGTTCAATTCTGCTCTGCATGCAGGCGGCAAAAGTGAGGTTTGTGCTTGATCATGTAACAGGGGGTTTGGCGTCCGTAAACCGCGAAGTTCAATATGAAATGAGAGTAAACTGAGGCTAATTTGAAGTCAAACCAACCTACGACCTATTGCACATCATCATTATCTGCTCTCAGTTTCTATTTATTATATATTTTTTTGCTCCATGTGATGTAAAACCTGCCTTTAAACTAATATCATCACAATGCCTTTAAAAACTCCTATTTATGCTGATTTCTTTGACTCAAGAATAATGGTAGTTTTCAACTCAACTGCAGCTGAATTTGTGTCCACACATGCTGCATATGAAACCATATAATAGATTACACTGCACACAGAGAACCTGTGATAGCATTAGCTTTATTGACAGTGGATTGAGGCTTTCAAGCGCAGGCTGTCTCAGTGATTCAATTCATTGTGCGAAGCAGGGAGAAGAGCAGCGTCCAGTCCTGCTTAGATGAAACCCCTGGAGGTGAATTTCCTGATTAAAGCCCCTCGCTCCCCATCCCCCGCCCTCAAACCCCTGCAGTTGTGTGAGCGTATCTGTGCGCCTGTGGAAGCATGCGCACGTACATGCATGCAGTTTGTGTGTGCCTGCTGCTTTCACAGCGCGTTGGCATTAACACGTGTGCATGTGTGCAGTTTTTGGGTGCATGCCAGCGTAGTGAGTGGAGAAGTGCGTTTGCATTGTGTGTGTACTTCTGTGTATATGCATATATTGATAAAGCTAAATCTTAAAAGTCACCTGTTTTTTGCATTTTCTTGATCTTCCAACCTAGTATTATGTGTTATGCTGTGACTCACTGCCATGTGATTAAAGTTTACTCTTATTTCTTATGTGTTCATACGTGTACAGATGTGCACACATACATGTACATGACTTTGTGTATTTCTGTGTGCATGTCAGCTCTACTAATGTGTATTTCTGTGTGTTGCAGAGGTTATGTCTGAGATGGCGGGGCGCCATGTGGAAGCCATTGAGACCTGGAGCGGCAATGAACATGGAAGGTGAGGCCAGATGGTAGTGGTTAGCCCTTGGCTGCTCTGGGTAACCTGACCTGCAGGGGAGGACCCCTCTGCCTCCCGAGGACCAGCCGCCACATGTGTTGCGTGAGAGTAAGTCACCCAAAACCCAGGAACCGCCTCTCGGCTTCCTGACTGCCTGTTCTCATAGTCGCGGCTGTTTTTTTAACCGAGGATCTAAAACAACAAACTAGAAACTGGATCAGACAGGAACAGTTCAGAGACAGGATCACAGAGGTGCCATCCATGTTTTCATCCTGCGCACAGAACTGCCACATTAGTGCATTATGCAAGGGTCAGCATTAAAT